CAGGCTGGAAGGAGGCCCTTGGAGCTGCAAGAGGCAGCAGCCTGGCCCTGGCTGCCTCTTGCTGGCACCAGGCAAATCCTGCGCTCTCAGAGCCAAGCTGGCAGCTGGCTGCTCCTGAGGGGAAGCGGCGCCGTGCTGGGCACAGCACACACTGGTGCCATGGGCTGTCTGGAGTCTGCACAGGAGGAGAGAAAGGCAAAGAGCAGCCCAGGGCTGGTGCCCTGCCTGACCATTCCTGCTCTTCTGCCGCCTGCCCTGGAACTGCTGGCAATGGTCAGCAGTGTGTGCAGCACTCTGGGCACAGGGGGAGGGAGCCGGGCTGCTCCGCAGGCTCCAGCACAGGGCAGTGTCCTTCAGGCACGGCATTTCTGCCAGGGGAACCGAGGCCAGCGTGAGGCACTGACAGCAAGTCAGGGCACATCTGCACCAGCCAGTGCCTCACACAGCTCTGGGACCAAGCGCCTGCAATCCTGGAGCTCTGCACTGAGCCACAGCAAAGGTGTGAAATGCAGAGGGTTTTGCAGAAATATTCAGGGGCACCAGGCCAGCCTGCTTGGTGCTCTCTGGGGCACAGCAAGCACTGTGCAATGCAGCTCGGAGCTGCTGGCAGAGAGGGACTATGGGCATGTGCCTGAGGCTTGTTCTTGAGTAGTGATGTGGAAGGGAGCAGAAGGGTCTCAGTGGGCAATTTGTGTTTTCTTCATTAATTGCAGAATGAAAGACACAATGTGGCCTCACGCAGCAAGAGCACTTGCAGAATTTACTGACTATAAGTTTGTGTTGAATTCCCAGAAAAGGAAGGAGAGGTGTTGTGAAGATGTTGAAGTGTAATAGGGCTTGTGAATTCCGTTACTTCTAACAAACAGTTTTCTGGGATTGAAAGTCAAAAAATCCACTCCCCCCAAGGAATTCCCATTGTTGGTCTGTGTCCGAAAGGATGTTCCTGCTCCGGTGTTCATCCAGGTGCTGTGAGGAGCCAGGAAGATGTGGAACCTCCCAGCCAGGTGTCTTCCCAACATGGATCACCAGGACCATGGATCACCAGGACCACATGTTGCCGCTGAAGATGAATAGATAACACGGACACAGGTTGAGGTGTGGTGAAAAGAAGAGAGAGTTTATTTTTCCTCCCAGGATTTATAGGTTTTTGACCACGGCTAGGGATTGGATGGTCAGGATAACACTTTCTCACCGCACTGGCCATGAGAAATGCCCATCACAAGACAAGTAACAGAAAGAATGTACACATATCTATGTTTACAGTTACTGTCCTGGGAAAGTCTTTAGAAAACTATGTTAGCAAGCTCAGAAGCTGAGTTTTCAGGGCGACAACCACGGATCACCCGGGCTCTGCCCAACGGGGGTCACTGGGGATCATCCAATGCCGATCCTCCCATGGGGGATGGAGCTGGAGCAGCACACGAAGCTCTTCCCGCACTCGGGGCACTCGCAGGGCTTCCCTTACTGGTGCCTCCGTTGGTGTTGGGTCAGGTTAGAGCTCCGTGAGAAGCTCTTCCCACACTGGGGACACTCGTAGGGCCTCTCCCCAGTGTGGATGCGCCGGTGACTGACAAGAGTGGAGTTGCGGTTGAAGCTCTTCCCACAGTCGGGGCAGCGGAAGGGCCTCTCGTCTGTGTGAATCCGCTCATGTCTGATGAGAGTGGAGCTGCGCTGAAACCTCTTCCCACACTCGGGACACTCGTACGGCTTCTCCCCGGTGTGCATGACCTGGTGATTCCTCAGGTCAGAGCTCCACCCAAAGCTCTTCCCACATTCCAAGCAGGTGTAGGGCTGTTCCCCTGTGTGACTCCTCTGGTGATGCACCAGGTTGGAGCGGTCACTGAAGCTCCTCCCACATTCCTCACACTCGTAGGGCTTTTCCCCAGTGTGAATCACCTGGTGCCGCATGAGGCTGGAGCCGTGGTTGAAGCTCTTCCCACATTCCCCACACTCGTAGGGCTTTTCCCCAGTGTGAATCACCTGGTGCCGGATCAGGTGGGAGCTCTTTCTGAAGCCCTTCCCACATTCCAAGCACTTGTAGGGCTTCTCCCCACCATGAGGCTTCTCCCCCAGCTCCAAGCTCTGGCTGGATCTCTGGCCGCCTTCCTGGCACTGGGGGGATCTTTCCTCCTCGCAGCTCCCTGGGATGGGTTTGCAGACCCTCCTCGTGTGGGATCTCTGGGGCTTTTCCTTCTCCTCCATCTGGCCTCAGTTTGGGAATGAAAAATCCTGGTTTGGGGAAAAAACAAGAGAAGAGTCTCTTGGGGTGGGGATTCCTCCTTGCCCAAGTTCATCTCAGGAAGTCATTGGGCATCTTGTCTGGAAGAACCTCCTAGACACCAAGATTCAGCACAAACATCCTCCAAACATCAAAATGTTACTATGGGGTTAAATGTTTCTGAAAATGTTTCTTAAAATCATGTAGAGGTAGGCCACAACAATCCTTGGTATTAGGGATGGTCTAGCAAGCTGAAATGTTTACAGTAATGGGAACTGGTACTTGGGGTCTCCAAGATACCCACCCAGAGATAAGATTCGGACATGTTCGTACAAGGATGAGCTAACTCTCATGAAGCAATAGAGATAAAGTTATTGAAGCAATATTAATGAAGCAATATTGATAAGGTTGTTATAGTGATTACTGCTACAGCTGAAATTGTAGAAATATGCACACTTTGGACAAAGACGATGGAGCTAGATTTGGGTTGCTAATACTGCTAGTTCCCACCCACTTCAATAAAGCACCTGCATATAATCAAACTGTGATTATCTGTGTTCCTGAACTCTAACATTTTCGTGACCCAGATGGGACTCTGTGAGTGCTGCTGAGCGAGCTCACGACCCGATCACGCTCCAGCCAGCACCGAGGGATTCTTGGGGAGCCCATCCGGCCGCGACCGTCTCCGCTGCTCACAACATCCCTCTGAGAGAGGTAAGGTGTTTTTTCGTCTGCTCTGGTGCCTGCCGATAAGACGCAG